TAGTAGGTGCAGACTTCAGCTTTTTCTTCCTGTGAAAGCCATGTTATATCCTCTCCTCCTGCATCCTGAAACTCCTCATCATTTCTATGGAAAAAGCAAGCATCTGATACTCCTGAAGCTTCTTTGACTATTCTTTCTCGGGAGGCAGGGATGTGGAGAAGGTAAGTAATCAGAGTTATTTTCTAGGGCATAGACGAGGCAGAAATTGAAACTTCTGGCAGGGCAGAGCTGAGATCACTTGAGGCCTCCATTCTGCTTTAATTATCACCAGTCACACTAGGATAGTCCTTAAAAACATTGAGTTGCATGTTAAAAAAAATCCTTGAATTTTGAGGAGTTGGAAATGGCTGAAGAAGGAGGGCAAGTTTTGCTGCAGTTGACATTAATCAGAAAAATATTATGCAGATATTTGCTCAGGATATGCTATATCTCAAACTGAAGTTATGGGTTTGGTGCAGAAATGACTGGGTGAGGTTCTTTGGCCTGAGATATGCAGAAGGCAAGACTAGATGATGATAATGATATCATAGTCCTCCTTCTGACCTTAAAGTCTATGAATCAGTTGCCTGCAGACCAAGCCTGTTCGGTAATTCTCTCTATTAAACAGATCAAAATAAACTTTTGCTTTTTGTTGTGCCTTTTCTTTCTTCATTCTAACATTTTCCCCATTCTCCTGACAGATTTCCTATGCCTTTACTTCCTGCCATAAGGAAGAACGAAGACAGTGACTCAATTTCTCTTGCTTGTCCACTACTACAGGTCTACAGTCTTCAGCCTGCTTCAGACAGCAAGACTGCCATCAGACTGTAAAGCAAAGACTAGTCCTACCTCACACATGGCTCCCGCAATGCAAAAAGGGATGAAGATTCAACACTGCTGCAGAGGATTTGGAGATATTTTAGATTCTTTAATACTTTCAAGGATGCTTTAAAGAGGAGGTCAGAACTGATTTCCAGATCCACAGCTCTGATTTGGGATCAGAACTTCCCTACTCTCATAAACTATCTTGACCAAGCTTTCCAGTTCTGCCCCACATATGCATTACTCTTCAAGAAGCTAGAAATGTCTTGTCTTGAAAAAAACATGGGACTTACTTAAACTATTCAAGTAAAAGCTCTTTAAGCAAATAGAGTGATCGAAGCCCACAGAACTTTGAAAAAAATACCCTCAGTCCCTCAAGGGCATAAAACACCTGAACTGCGAGTCTGTGGCAGGTATTGGACGTAAGGGAGAAAAGAACTGCCTCCAGCACTGAATTTGGCCCTTACAGATTGGAGTTGTGCAAGAACAAATTTTGGGCACTATTTGCTAATCATAATCTAGAGATCCTCTCCACTTTGTGCATAGGGTTGGCTGTTCCTGTGCGCAGTTTCTCCAGCTGGCTTTGGCTGGCCCTCCTATACAGAAATTTTCCTGTGTTTGGGACTTAGACATCTTAGCAAGATGGCTAATAGTTATAACTGGAGCCTTTTCTGAGGTGGAAGGAGGCAGTCAACAGCATATGCTGCTTTCCCTCTTGCTCTGATATTACTGCTGGACATCTTCAGAGCTTGTAACAAAGCCTGTAGCCTTTTTTTGACATTCAGTGCAAACATATTACACAGCTGTATAAACTGTTCTTGATAAAAGTTTCTTGATTAAAGCCTACAGAATATCATTCTTGCAATCATCATATCAGGATGTAGTATCTAGATGGCTAAAGTAAACAGTATTTGAAAAAAATATTGCAGAATGGGGGGGGGGGAAGAGGCTTGAAGTTAGTACTTGCCCCCACTGCCTTCAATAAACAGCTGGAGCTGAATTTGTCAGTATTGTCACCTCCAAGTTTTAAAAATGAAGAAGCAGAACCTCTTCAAACCATGCAATCTATTTCAAAAACAACAACATTCTAAAAGTTAACTCTTTTTGTTCTTTACTTACTTTCTGGGTTCGGGGCAGTTAGGGGTCACCCATGCGACCTTCTTTCTCCAAGCGTGCAGATGTTTTTAGAAAATAATAACATAGTGATTCCCTCATAATCCCAGTAGTCCCAAAGCGTTAGGAGAATGCCAAACAGTGCAACTTGTCAGTGAACTGAATTATCAACACCAAACATTGTGTAGCTGCAGCTTTCCTAAGATACCAATCAGAACAGAACAACAGAACTGACTACTAAGCACCAAAACTATATCAGAGAATTTATGTCTGCAAGGCTAACTAGCATTTTATTTTTATATATAAGTACAAGTACAATTATTTTACTTATTATATACAGTCCAATTTTTAATGTATATATAAATATAAATTGTTTTTGAGATGAGACCACTGTGATAATGTGAAACATTTAGCTGTGAGATATCTGTGTGAGACCTCAGAACAGAACCTAGTGCTTCCAGATCTGGAATCTTAACTAAAAGATTCTCTCTCCCTTGTTCCCCTCACATGTAGATATTCAGCCTTTTTTGATAATGGAGACCGGCATCTGCTCCAGAATAAATACATACTTGTATTGTATTGGTAACAGAGATGTCCTGCATTATTTACCTTGCAGAGTGCAACCCAAATGCCAAAAGCTCCTGCTGCTTTCCATGCTCACTGATCCAAGTTGAGCGATGCAGCAATGAATGTTAGGCTCTGAGGCAATGGGCCACTTACCAGCACCCAATACAGCTTCCAAGCACTGTGAAGCCACAACCGTGTGGGGTTGTAAAGTACTCGTCGTAATCACATAAACATGCCCATGCTACGTGGGCAGCCTGCTATCACTTGATCCAAATTTATCAGCTAGCTACCGCAGGCCGAAATAGGCCCTCATACTGACAGAGATGAAGATGATATAACGGGCATCTTGGAGCCAGAGTTCAAACTAGCACAGGCAATAAAGTGCCAGTCACCATCTTATCGCAGCACTCTGATTCAAGAGCAAATCTACTTTTCTTTCAGCTCTGCTCCTGCAGTACTTATCTTCACTGCTGAGAACTCCCCTGCCTTCATGGGAAATCATTGGGCCTATCCTGACTCCATCAGCCGGGAGGCTTTCTGCAATATGGCGAGGGTAAACTCTGGGGGTTGGGATTGCTCTAGTCTTTACCATCTATCTCAGATATCCTCCAAGGTCCTATCTTACATATGTTATATAAACACATGCTCTAGATAAAGATCAAGCCCATGAAATTGTTTTGCACTTAAATCTTGTAAGTTATAAGAAAGTTGATTCTCAACCAATTGTACCTGCTTATAGCCAAACACCCTTGGACATCAAGATGTGCATTCTCGTTCTGGGACCCATCTCTGTGTATGTCTACATTTGGACTTACTTACTTACGATTGTTTTGACCTGTGCTTGGCTCAGAAATACAGTGGTTTGTGACTGATTGAGGAAGAAGAGTAAGAAGGTTGTTTACAAAGCTTTTAATCAATGTCTCTTTTAGCCATATATAGCAAATGGTCCCATATGTATTGCCACTGATATACAGCATGACTTTCACCTTTCATTTCCCTAAATGATGCAAAGATATAGATGCACTGGGCATCCCTAATTTCCCTTGCTCACCTAATCACAGTCCCAGTAACAACAGTCACCCTTCTGGCTGCCTAGACCAAATCAGTAAAACAGCAATATCCAGAACACATTCCAGATGAAAACTCTTAAGCTTTATCCTAATGGACATCAGCTCATCAAAACAGAACTGATGCTCACACTGGCATCCAAACCACTGGAGGCCAATGGCATCTTGTCTCTGCTGCTAGTGGTTTCACAGATCTGAAGTACAGAGCATAAGCAGGGTATTCTAAAATAAAGATGGGTAGATAAACATGTGACAACTGTATTATTTGAAGGAAGAAAGATCTCTACTTGTCCGAAGACATAAGTACTATTTCTCCTCAAATTCTTTGTCCTAAGGTACCTGATCAGAACCTGCTAGGCTGCTGTTTATGAACCTGCCCTGGTGTTCAACCCAGTCTCACTGAACCATCAGGTAAATACCCTTTGCAGCTGATGTATGCATGTGCTCCTCATGAAAGGCACATATGACCTCAGCGGGGGTTGGAAAGTCTATTCTCTCAAAACAGTTATTTCACAAACACCGTTACATTCACCACCTGAGAGCAAAACACAATTATTAATTGCTTCATATGTTTGCACTATCACGGCACCAGCAAGTCAGTTTTCATCACCAAATTGGTTAGCCACTGACCTTCCTCAGGACTGGGGTAGGCAGCTTCCAAGGTACTACAAGCGTTTGCTTCCGGAATGGCTCAATTTCTCTTTTTGTGCCCTGATACTGCCAGGTCAGGAGGAGCTCTTCTTGTGTGCTGTGGAAGTCTGCTTTGTCATGCAGGCACTCTGGTCATCCCAGCTCTGTGTGACACTGATTCCTCCACTCTGCTCTATTTCTCCTGCTCCAGAAATCTAGACTACAACTGAAGCACAGAGAGCTACCATGCCATGCAACAAATTCCTCCACGCTCACATCACCATCTGGCACGAGAGGATCCCTACAAGGCCAGGTAACATTGAGCCTTAAAGGCTCGAAATCTGCTACTGAACCACCCTCTGCCATCTCCTACACTCTCTCTCTCTATTATTCTACAGCAATTGTGCAGGTAGAGTGGAAAGAGCGCATCCACAGCACTGGATTTGTGGCTTGGCACTCACTGAAGCAGAGAGGCATGCAGAGGTGGAACTGCCCAGTCGAATACACTGGTGAGCTAAGAACATTTCTGCCCAGAAGTTCAGGGTGGGCAGCCAAGTTCTCCCACAATATACTGAGAACCAGTTCTGAGATCAGCTTCAGCTAATGCGGCACACAGAAAACAGAAACACTCAGGTAAGTCCAGCGATCTGTGGGAGTTTGCAAATATCATAGGTATGTTAAAAGCAGGTGTGCTTACCAGGAAATTGGACCAGAACCAAGTTTTTGTCCAAGTAATCCTTCAATTCATTTTTGGACCCAAGCTAAGTGAGCTCAACTATTATCAAAAAGACAGAGACAGAAGTTTGAAGCCTTCTCTCTTACCAGCTGAATCTGCCACAGATGTTCCACCACTCGTCAAGTCCTCAGTATTGATCGATTGCAGATCTGTGTAGGAGGGAGCAATGCTTGGGCTGCTTGTGTCCTCTGAGTTGGTTGTCCAGCTGCTCTCTGAGGCATGGGCTCGTCTCTCAGAAGAGTCTGAGGAGGGGGAAGTCCAGCTGGGTGCCTTTGGTGGAGACACTGGATGCAGGAAAGAAACAGGCATCAGTGACAGACTTACCAGGGGAATCTTGCAGAAGTGGAAGACTGCAACAGTTCGAAAGATATGCTCTGTCATCGTACTGAGACTCTGTAAGCATAGATTCCACATCTGCAGTAATATAGTTATTTAAAAAAAAATACAGTAATTTAACTAGTGACTGCCGCTTTTACCCTCCACTGCATGCAATCAGAACTACTCATTTGTCTGCCTTGGATCCCTCGCTACTGACAGCTGTAAGTTTTCCTGTTGTGCAAGTATTTTAGAAGCTGCGGCTTTTCAGAGCAGGAAGAGTCCATGTTTCTGCCACTACTAACAATATTTGAATATCTGTATTGTGCAACACAGTTGGGTTCTTATATCATTATAGATTACTATAAAGTAGTTTTATTATATTTAGTTAAGCATTCCCCTGTGCCACCCACTTAAATGTAGTGGTCATCTTAGGAAGGGTCAACACAGGAGTTGTTGACATCTACACATCTACACATATTTAGGCCTCTCTTTCAGATATTCCTACTGCTCTCCACCCTCTCAAAATTGCTGCAATAGAATTCCTAAATGAGGTAGTTTTTTTCCTAGGATTTTAGAATTTAATCCCTAATGTCACTACATGCAAAGTCAAGGCCTTTCAACTGCAGCAATTCTCAGAAATACGTTTGTGTTGAAAGACCAGTGCCAGAATTGTCCCTGTAGCACGTGTAGATACTGAAAATCAACTCATGTTTCCCAAATTGAAAAATATGTTTCTCTCCACTTGCATTTTACTTTGTTTTCTTGATGCATTTGTTCATGGCACATTGAATTGGCTTTTAATATGCAGATTTATCTTTAAACATTCATTCCTTTTCAGTGTTTTTGTGACCTGTTCCTTGATCCCTATACTGAATTCCAATAGACCTTGTCAGCACCAGCATCGTTTCCTTTCCTATTATATAGCATTTTAGTTTTTTCCGATTTTAGGACAGCGCCACAGTTTGTCTAGTTTTCAGCTACTGATTTTTTGTGTGGCATATACTTCCTATTTTCAGATAGAACGGCATAAAACAGTTAAATTGAGATTTGCCTTACTGTGGGATAGCCTCCCAAGGGACAGGGTATGAGTCCAAGTTACTTGAGCCATTTAAAACTAGACAAAGCTCTTGGGAAGGAGGGGGTGGAACAGATGATGTAATAGATCTTGCCTTGCTCTAATTTTGGTGCTTTGCTGAATACCTCATTGAATTCAGGACCGCAGCTAACACCAATAGAATATGAGACTGCTAGCTGAAGGCCCATTGTATAACAAATGCAAATGTTATGTCACCTCTTAGTTGTGATTATTTACAGATTGTGTAACATTTCTGATGGGAATATTTGGGCAATCTAAAATCTCATTTTTCGTTTTTGCAGCATCAATTTTGGCCAGCCTGATAATTACTACGAGAAAAATCAAATTTCTTCTTTTTCCACCAAAAGGAGAATTGGGAAAAGGATATCAGAATGCATCATTTCTGTGACTAAATACATCCGTGGCTTTGCTTAAGAGTTATTACTTCCCAGGGAGAAATCCACATCATTTAGCAGCTGTCAGTTACCTGCTGATAAACCTAAAAAGCGGAAATAGTTTGAAAGACAGATTTTTGCTAGCATTTACTCTGGCTGGACTTGGTAGAATGAATGGTTTACAAGAATGTCCTGAATAAAGATAATTTCTAGTACGAAGCTCAAAACGTGTGTCTTTCACTTCTACGCCTTATGCCTTAACCTCCCTTCTCACTTTCTGAATTCTTTGTCTACATTTTCAGCCCTCTCTCTGGCTAACAGTCCCACTGATTGCTGCTCCTCCAATAAGGTCTCCACTTTCCCCAGTTTAACAGAGGCCCAGCATTAGACTTGCTTTTCTTGTAAACATATTTCTTACAGGATAACCACTACATGGGATTCATGTTTTTGAAGTGTTAATTTTTTAGATGGTGAATCTCTCTCCCAAAATGCTCACATTGCAGGGAATCCATGCAAAAATCTTGTAGCACTGAAGTCTGAACAAGATAGCATATCTCTCCCCTATGGCCCGTTTTCTCTGTTTTTAAGACATTCTGGAAATGCCATTTTCAGAACGTGTTTTCAAGGCAGCCTGGCCATCAATCTGGGTAACTGTCTGGCCAGCTCTGCAGCTGCTTCAGCATGGAAGGACATACAGCTGATTTCCTAACCGCGTTGGAGCCCCGACAGGAACATGGTTAGGGGGCTGAATCTTCAGGACGTTGCTCCTTACAGGTGGCTACACAGAAAATAGATTTCAAACGTTTCCCTCCTCCTCACTCCAGTGCGTCTGCTGATGCTTGACATTTATACCCTGCCTCCATAACTGGCTATTTGCTATTGTTCTTATATAGGCTGTTTGCTACTGGAAATGAATAATGCTGTCACCACAGGCTTTCCACAGAGCATGTCAGTGTATGGTGGTTGTAATAGAAAATCTCTGGCTTTGCAGCTGCCCGTAGAGAAAAGATGTGACCTGCAAATTAATTGAAAACAACAAGGCTGAAGTTTATCCTACTTCTTGCTGTCAAAACCGCCCCCAGGGTAGACAGCCAGAGACAAAGACCTGCCATTCTCTCTGCTCCGTGACCTGCCCTTTAGAGGCTGTTAGCTGCACTTTTTCTGGCCATTTATAAAACGGGGTTCAGAACAGGCATGGGATTAGCCAACAAGTCTTCTAAAGTAAGTGATATTCACATCACCTCATTTTAGAATTCTCCTCTGCTATATAGCTAATAAGAGGGGAAACAGCCTCCCATGCAAGGATTACACAGAGTAACAAAGCAAGCCTCCCGAGCTGATTGCTAGAGGAAATACCCTCCTCCATTAATCTCAGTCAGATGCTAAAAGTTACAGAGTGTGGCTGTCCCTCCTAGTGACAGAGAGCACTCAGGTCCCTAAAAAGCTAGAAACGGTGCCTTCTTAAAACATCAGTGCTTTTGCAAATTCTTCTCTGATTACTAATTTGGATATCCAAGAGCTGTGCCTACAACCTGGTGTCCCATGTGACTGCAAGAACACAAACCAAGAGGCACTACTTTTGCTGAGCATGAACCATTAAGACTGGGTCACATCCCTTTAAGGATTCCTCTTAGGAATGAAGTAGCAGATTGTGAAAGGAGTTTTATGAAAGCCTATTTGTTACGTTTAATTTATTTAGCTTCAGCAAAAAATACGTGTTTTCTTGTTTAAAAATAAAGTGCACTTAATGTTTTCCAATCAACAAGGAGACCACAAGCTTAGTAAGGAAATATGGTGGAATAGCAACCAACGGCACCATTTGAAAAAGCATGTGCCTCTGTGAACCCCTGTGAACAGAGAAGGAACTCTTGTCCATATCATTTTCACAAGAAACTATCTCACCTAACCATGGAATCAACTAGTAGAGAGGAAGGGCATTTCAGGTTTACAGTTTTACAATTATGAGTACTATTCCTTCTCTCCTTGCCACCAGGATCGGTAAGTATTTATAACTAAGAAGAATAACCAACAAATAAATATAAAGAGGAGAAGGTCCTATGCAGAGCTTAAGAGAAAAATTTATGCTGCAAGATTCACCCACCTTCCTCTGCACAAAGCTCTAACCACAGTGTCATCCAGACTAGCCTGTAACACCCATAAAAAGAGCAGAAGGAAAACAAAAAGCCCAGAACCCAACCCAAAGTTGCAAAACCAAGTTTTCTGATAGATGTATTATTGATATCACAGGGAGTATTTAGACAGACTCAGTAAGCAGAGTAAAACTATAACTCTTTAAACTACTGTAAATAACTAGAAGGAATAAAATAAAATGATTAAGAGAAATTCAATTTAAACATGAAAAAGTAAGCATACTTTTTCTTTGGGTAAATTTCCAGAGCCTCCTATGACCAGGGACAAAAAAAAGTTTATTTACTTGTGACACATCTGAAGAGCTGGATGAATATATTCTGCCCCAAAAGACAGAAAATGACCAAAAATTGCTCTTATCAGTGAATAATCCATTTGCTGAAAAAAATGAACCCAGCTGAAATTTTCAATACTTCATATGAACCCTATTCATAAAGAAAAGCTAGAAGCTTACATAACCATATCTGTTAACATAGGCTGAAGATGTAACCCAAAGGCTTTGCATGCATATCTGAAGTAAGTTCAAAAGAACTTTTACAGTGGAACAAAAGCACACGCAGTCTTGGAGTTAGGGTTAGCGTCTGCTGTCTTTGTAATTCTCAAGCTACTAAATCGTATCATCAATAGGCAGCAAAAAGTACTGATGGAAATTTGCATACTAGTTCTTAGTCTAACTCACAGAATTTTCTTCTGTTTATTTTGTTAGCAAGCTACTGACCAAACCAGAGCTACTGCCGTACTAAGAATTTCCATATTAGTACTGATATGAGTGTAGAGTGTGGAACAGACACCAGAGTGCTGCATGATACCAGAGCTCTCTGGTGGAAATTTGTTCCAAGTCTCCAAGAGCCTCATCTCCTCTGAGATGAGCTCAGACTTGGCCCAAGAGATAAGAGTCTTCAGCTACTCTTGAAAGACAGAAGGCCTCCATCAACCATTTTTTCTATATTATTCCATTCATGTACACTGTAGCTGTGGACCTGTCCTATCACTTCATGCAAATACGTTTTTTTCATTTCCTCTGCCATGACGGAAGCTAGCTTTGCAGAGCACTGAATCATTGGATCATCAACACAACAAATCTTGGAAACGCACTGGAATCTGTAGTATTTCCTAGTGTTTCCCTTCTCATGCATGCACCTCACCTGCTTGTGGATGGGCTGGTGGAGCACTGGTCCATGGTGCATCTTCAAACTGAACCCAAGCACTAATGGATGATGACAGATCAGCTCTGGGAGATACATGGTTCCCAAGTACAGCAGAATCCACCTTGGGATTGTCAGCTCCATCGTTCAGATTGTTGTGGGAAAGATCCTGAAATTCTCCATCCACATTTTGGTTCTCTTCTGAGGAGGTATCTGACGAAGAAAAACATTTTTCCAGAGGCTCCTCAGTGCTACCTAAAATAAAGACAGAATGGACTGGTAGCAATTGTCATTACTACTTTTTTTTTTTTTTTCTTTTTTTTTTGCTGAAGTCTCTAAAATTTGCCATTAAACATAGGTTAAAATCTAGATTAGGTGATGGAAAACTTTGCACCTAACAGTGGGCTTAGGTTTGCACTCGTAATAGTAGGCAAGATTTCCTTTGTGGTCCTTTGGAGATAGGCTTTGGCTCTGTACTTGCTTATAAAAGGCAATAATGGACCTATTTTAAAGCAGCTTCACATAAGGATAGCATTTTAGGTTTTTTGCCCAAATTCTCCTATTACATAGGGGTAGCAGGAGATAATTCAATCTCTCCTTATACTATTTCCACTTAGAAGGTAGGCTTTGTGATGCTAAATATATGACAGCATTTGGTCTTAATCAAATAAAGAAAGTCTTAATAAACTCATGGAAAGTCAAAGGTGTCTTACCTTGCAGTTTAACAGGGAGGAGCAGGTCATCACTGAAGGACACCCACTCAGACTGATGGGAAGCAATGACACCAGTCAGAGATGTCATACTCGCAAAAGGCTACTCATCTTCCCTTAGTGATTATGAGGAGTAATCAGAATGGGAGAGTGGCACAGTGAAGATGAGCCAGTAGAGGGAAACACTTCTTTTGTACTTTCTTCTCTTTTCAAACGCTGTTAAGATAAGAAAGGATTAGAAAATTAAATGAAAAAAATGAGTGCCACCATTCTAGTAATATAGAATATTAAAACACTATGATTACCACAGGCACAGTACTGCCAAAATGCTGCTACGTTTGAGAGAGGATTGTTACCTGTATATAGAGGAGGACAACATTAGAGCAACTCTTTGACTATTTTAAGATGAGGATGTTTAAAGACCCTCGGATGCTTTAATCAATCACAGAAAACAATGTTTCATTCCTTAATCAGAGATCCATGTCTCACATGACCCTGGAAAAAAGGTTGCAAGGGGATTCTCCTCAATCTAGCAAATTTTGATTATGATGCAGTTCAATCCAATTCCCAGCATGTCATCATGTCCTCATTCCTCTTGCTACTTGCAATGTCTGATCCCTTCCAAGGGCTAGTAATAACATGCATTTCTCATTAGCAACAAAATTCATACAGCCAGATCTGAAATTACAACAAACTTGGTAAGGAGAACTAATACTTGCACCATACAAATTTACTACTGAGAAGCTTTGAATCTGCCCAGCAAAGATGTACATTTCAAAGACATTCTTGTCTATCCAATAAATAGATAAATAAATAAAACCAGAACATGAACAGAAAAGTTACAGGTTAATAACCTGATTAAATTGATTAGCAAGATTAGTGTATCCATGTGAGGAAGGCAGACATAAGGAAAAGCCTTATGCCAAGTACAGGATCATAATCTAGAAAACAATACGTGAAGGATGGGGTTGTCCAGGACTCAGATTGCAATCCAGGTATCAAAGATGCCATATCAGCTAGCTGCACTTTGCAACTCTACTGCTTGAATGGAATTTCACCTTCTAATTTTAAAAATGAGTGTCTTCCTTAAATCTTGTATGGAATTGAGCGGGATTTTGCTGTAGCCCAGCAAACAGGTTCACAGAAGTGGCAAGTTTAATTAGGATGTACTCTGGTAGGATGAACCTCACATAGATCTGGGAATCTGCTGGAATCAGTAGGACACTTAGCCGAGGGGTCTGATTGCTGGCTGATACCTTGGAAGATCAGGTCTGGGGAAAGAAACTGTCCTTTGACAAGCATCCAAGACAGGCTCAGGTTTGCAGCTCACTTCAAAACTCTCACAGGACTATTGCCTCCTTCTAGGGAAGTGTGTGAATTCTCTCCCTAATTATCTGAAATATTGAAGCTCTTGTTGCCATGGTATCTAAGCACTTGAAAATATCAAGCTCGGACTTGGCTATTTTAAAGACGTGTAAGTGGCATCTCTTGGTCTACCGCCTCTCACCTAATTTTATGATTTTTTGGGGTGAAACTTCATGTTGGTTTCAAAGAACAGATATTTAACTGAGACATCTCTTTACCCTACATGGGTAACATTGAGTTCCACAGAGCAGAACAACATTTAAATGTATTTACCCTTTAAGTATTTTCTGCAAGAAGCGGAGGATCATTAATTAGCTCGAATATGATTATTCTCTTTAGGTCCACAAAGTTATCTGCTGACTTGCCTTCAGGAGACTAATAAGAGCTGTGTGAAAGAGCTGAAAACTTGAAGTCTGGATGTCACGAGACAGCCTGGCACCTGACAGAGAATTCAAGAATTCACGGGTCCAAGTTAATTGCCTGCAAGCTGAAAACTGGGCCTTTTCAACCAGAATCTAACATAAAATACACAATTTCCTGCAAAGAGAAAATGATTTCCTGAAGATAATCCTGACTGTTAAGTGCAATTTGCCAGAAGAAGATTGATCCTGTCTCAGTTCAGCTCTTCCAGAGCTTATTGCCATCCCACAGCCAGTCATCCTGCAAACCCTTTTCCTCTTTACACCATTAATTCCCTAATGCTGGAGAAACAGCTGCGCTTGAGCCCCAGCTCCCATAGCAGGACGTCTGCGTTCACACAGTGTGGGCAGGTACCATTGCCCGCCTCGCACAGAACCCATTAGGGGCTCTATTAATAGAAACTACAGACAAAAGCTTAACACAGAGGCAAGCTAGCAGAAAAAGAATAATCAGATGTTTAGGGTCACAGGGACTCCATGTGAGGGAGGAAGAAGACGACCTTGATATTTTGCTTTCCCCATGTGACCAATTAAGCTGTTTGTTTTTGTCTTGTTTAAATATCTGCAATTTAAGTTTTCTTTTTCTAAACATCTGAATACTGACCTCTCCCCATTCTCCTGGAAAAGTCCTGACAGAAGCATGAAATTGACAGGAAATGAAAAAAGAAAACAGTTTATCTGGTGCTTAACGCACACAGACTCCAGGATAAGTGTTTTTTGGTTTTTTTGTGTTTTTTTTTTATAAATGTCCAAGGGAAAAAGGCCAGTGAAAGAAGGCAAAAATAAAAGACTGTTTCAGATGTGCTATTAGGTGGGAGAATTTTACCATTCTTTTGCCATGGATTTCTTCTTTCACCCTGCTGCTCTGGCACAAGCACACTTTCTAAAACCACTTAGTACTAAATAATAAAATGTCATAGTTTAGAATATCTGTTAGAGTCGTATTTGTTCTTTTTCATTTGATTTACTCCTGAGTTTTAATACTGATGTCACAGTATGAGGAAGGACTACACCTACTCTGAACCCCAGCTCTAGTTTGCTAGATGTGGTCTTGTGTCAGGGTCTCCTCATTTGTACAGCACGTACAGTGACCATGCATGTTAATACGGACACTGAGCAATATGAGCTCAGCATTAGAGAGTACCACAAAGTGCACCATTAAGTGCATATTCCAACTATACGACTTTCCCACTGACAGAATTTTCTACAGACTTCCTAGTTTGGTATAGGATGGGGATTGTGTTGTCTCATTATCAGGGTTATCACAACTTTTCAGAGAAGCAACCTGAAAGAAAGGAAAGTCAGTCTGACCAGATTGTACTGCCAAAGACTTTCAAAGCAGAGGTAATCTGAGGATGCATATGTTAGGATGAAAAAAATAGTAAAAAGAGAGAATTTTGGATTCTCTCTGCTTTTCATAATGCCTACTCTAGCCTAACAACCTGACACAGACACTTCTACAGAATTATGAATCATGTATAGTTAAATCCTTTGCAGATTGTATGGAAAAGGCTATACAGCTTCAACTTGATATGCTTTTACCACTCCACATTCCAAAATCTTCCATATAAAACAAACCAAACACAAAACCAAACACAAAAAATCCAGTTGTGAACCAAGGAGGCTTAGCCAGTGTGATACCAATGCCACCGCGCATTCAGTTAACAAAACGACGCTGCAATTTGCAGAACTTGTACAGATGTGCATATCTCTAGCGGATCTATTTGACTTTGTGGGAAAATCCAAATCTTTTTCTTAGCAAAGCAACCAGCACCTACTGTTTAAACAACAGAGAGAATACTCTGCAAGTGAATTTTGCATTTTTTTCTCCCTGTCTTTCAGACTTCCCAAACTTCCATAGCTATTCCCAGAGAAGATTTTGGAGCTTACAAGTATTGATGAGGAAACAAACGGTCCTTCTCTACTCCAAGTGACGTATGATTAAAGACAACGCTGTAGAGCCCATGCAAAAGGAGATGGAAATACATTTCTTGGAATAAAGCATTCCCAGGCCAGGCCACTGCATCTCTGTTCATAAATAGAATTCAAGTAAGTGTATGGATTCTTTGATTTCTGGGTTTGTGCTGTTATGTGGATTAAGCCTTTGGTGATGAATTGGAAGAAGAAATAACTAATTTACCAAATTTTGGTCATCAAAAATTAGGGAACAACAACATGTGTGAAGGTGTTCATCTACTACACAGCAAACATAGGGCAAAGCCAGAAATTACACGTTAACCCCAGTGATTTTTACTATCAACTTCTGCTTCAGGTTTCCCTTCCTTATACCACAGATTCACAGCAGGACATGGAACTCAGCGACAAACTGGTGACAATTATTCCCAGTTCTCCAAAGGGCATAGATCAAAGAACTGGAATGAAACTCCTTGGCTGTTCAGTTCCTTACTGTTTTGATCAACTACATTACATATTTCCCTTCTAAACCTGAAGCAGCTTCATTTAAAATGATAGAATGGCTTTGATCACTAGAAGTATCTTCTGATTTCAAATCTACATATATTCACAGCCAGTTCATAGCCATTTCTTTTTGTGACAAGGATGTCCCTCTCCTCTCTTGCTTACCCCTGCTCTATTAACAGCTAGAAAGAAACACTGTCACCCTTCTGATCATGGCTTTTGTTGTAACAGCCCCAAGTTTCACTAACACCAGGAAGGTCTCAAGGTAAAATATGCAATTTTTATCTTGACCATGTCTGTTTGGCAAATCTGTACAGACAAAACAATTCTAATAGCACAAAGTACAGAATGATTGCTGCCTTGGGCAAATTTCCAAGTGAGTTAGAGCTCATGGTTCTTCCTCTCAACTTGGCCTATAATAAGCACTGACCATCAGCACATCATGACCTGAATAATAAACAAAGTCCAAATTGGAAATCTGTTCTGAAGCATCAAAAAAAAATCCCAACTACCTTCAGGGTACCACAACAAAACCAAATCACAATCAAGTGAAAAATGACAGAAAAAAAACTTGAAAGAAATCCAGTGAAATAAAAGAACTGGATTTGAATTTTATTATTACTGAAAAAATCATTGCACCAGCCTCTAACTAAATGCCTGAGATGAGATTACCCCTAAGTTTATGAATGACAGAAATGATGAGAGAAAATAATTGAATATGATTTCTTTCATGTATTGCATTCTTGATACTGAAGATCATATTTTCCTTATGTATACTGGTCCCCCAGCTCATAAATTGCCCCGAGAAAATTTCTGGTTATATCAGGTTTTAGACCTCACACCAGTTTTATGTACTCTCTGACTCATATGTGCTATTCTATGCAGTTCCTTGATTTCAGCATTGCCCTAATAGGTTCCGTCACTATCTGGTGCATATACTACTCATTTGTATGAATGCTATAGATATGTAGGGAAGAATTAGGGCTCCAAGGGACCCAGACTGAAGCTA